AAAAGCTTGCAATAAAAACAAAATTTCCCACTGTGGTGGATACAGCAGATAGCCAAATGTGGCTTTGCCCTAAAACAACCAAACCAAAAACTAATAACAATAAACATAGTAAATACCTGTGTAAGATTTATTTATATTACTAATAGTTTCAGAGTCAAACACTAATTTATATTACTACTTACCTCAACTTCCTCAACTGGAGGAAATGGAGGTGGTTCTATCATTGTGATTTCACTTGGATGCACAGTGTGGGGAGTGGGCACTACAAGAAAAAAAAACTATATCAATTAATAATAACTGTAGGTTGTAATAAAGGAATGTGTACAATGAAGTTTTATATTAACATCATTTGTATATTTTATAGTACACTCATAGTTTCAAAGTGTGGAGATTATGGATACCGTACATTATACAACTACTTAATACATGCAAAGCACATGTGTATATTTATCTATATTCATATAGTTTATTTGCTTCTTCGACAATTTATGCTTTTAAAATAAAATAAAAATAGTGAAGATTATGTTTGGTAAAGGAGCAAAAGGTGTGATGTAAATGTAATGTGCAGCCCACCATTCTATAAAGGTTAAAATATTTGATGTTCATTCTTTAAATCTGAATTAGATCATATGATCTTTTTTTTGGGCCTCAGCACTGATTTGGAATGTAACTATGTTATTAACTTCAAACGTATCACAAATAATGGCTAGCAATTGGCTCTTCTCAATCTGTTAATTGGTATTAGGATTGCTACTTATGAAAAAATTGGTAATTATTTTCTCTTCTATTTAGCTATTTAATTCTTATTTATTCATAAGATTTTTTATTTAATACAAGAGTTATGATCAAGATAGTTATAAAGCTCAAGTGCTAAATTTAGTATTTTTAGAAGTGATAATTTATCGCAGGTTTGCCTATGTAACTGTTTACAAATCATTTGTTGCATAGTTCAGTTATTGTGAATTGACATTATGTTACACAAACCTTCTGAAATTTTTTTTTGTTCCTTTAAGTGAGTATTGTTACATCATAACATATCGTAGTTTGTAGAAAGTTCTAGGTAATATATATATAAATATATGGTTGATGCAGTTAGTGATAGTAAAAGTGAAGTTAAACTGAGTGATTCTGAGTTTAGCCATAAAGGACATGTAATGGCAATTTCTAAAGTGAGTTTCACAGCCTATATTGTAATAACAGAATAGAGGAGAATAATTTGTCTTGTCAAAGGGTGTTCTAAAGTAACTGAATCTGCCTGTGTGGACTTCAACGAAAAAAGAGATAATTATTTAAAGCTCTGGATTCCACTGTGATAACCAATAGTGTTATGAATTTTTGTACATACCTTTGACTTGTTTTGAATATATTATTTTAAAACAAGTGGATTATGTGCTGTCCATTTATTCTTAAAATTTATCACCAACGAGTCACAGACACCTACTGTAAAGAATCCAGCCTTATAAAAACCTGACAGACTGAAATAACTAAAACTGAAAATCCATTACTGAAACATTGCAGCTTAGTGACATGAGCATAACTTCTGTTTAAGTTCAAATAAAGTAACATAACGATCAACTTTCACTAACTCCACAAGCTGATAACCCATATAATGTCAATTTGACTAAACATGCAGCTTTTTTACAGGCAAACTCTTACATATCTGAAATATTCAAGCTTACTATTTGCCTAAATAATCAAACCTTCTATTGCACACTAAATCTTTTGGTACATGAAATGCATTTACATCATTTTAAAGATGAAGTTTCAGCCTACAGCTGTGGGGTGTGATGGTGAGAGTGAGTAATTGAATAGTTAAGAGAATTAATAGAATGGTAAACACACAGAGGAACATTGAAAGCCAGCACAGACCCCGGGGTAAACATCCTCACTGGGCCCCCTTCTCTCTTTTTAACATTTTAAAGAACATATTAAAAAGAAGATCCTAAATTAGAACAGCAACAAGCTCATAAGCAGGGCCAAATCATAGCAGCAGCCATTTTTAGCACACAGTATAAGCATAAAGACGTTAATAAAGTAAAGCAACAAATATATATTAATTATTACACAAATTATTATTTCAATCATTCTTAATGTATCAAACATCCATATGCAAAGAAAAGTCCAAAACTATGATTTTTATGATTAAATGAAGATAAAGCCTAAAGGTGATTTCCGGGCTTTACGGCATAACCAGATTTCATTCGCCTGGGCAGTTGCCCTCCCTGTCAGCGGTCCTGCACAACACATTCCACCAGTATCAATCCCAATGTGATAATATTCATAAAGATGTCTACTCAAATGCTGAATGCATTACAAAAATTCATTCTATATTTAAACATTTCATTATTAGATACTTATTTGCTCCCCCCCCCCCCAGTGGCACAGCACTAGAATCCATGGTGGGCAGAGTATAGATAGCCCATTGTGTAGCTTTGTACTTAACTTTGAACTTTGAAGATACTTACTTAACCCTTAATGTGGGAGTCATGCAATCATTACTGCTATACATATAAAGTTCAGGGTTGAGAAAGCAACTATAAATGCCTTCCAACATTTAACTCACTGTTTAGACAAGTAACTTAAAATGATGATGGATCATGAAAGATTTAGAAATAATGGACCAAACTAAGAAAGTTTATTTACTGACATTTTAAAATTTCAAAATAACAATACTATGTTGAAAGCATTTTAGTTTTCTAGGGCTTTTCCATAACACTTACTATAACATAAATTTACAAGGACTTTCCAGGCCTTGAAACTGAATTCATACATTTCCATGTTTTCCAAGACCCATGTAGACCCAGATAAACTGATTTAGTTTCAGGTTCTAAAAGTATAGTACACATAGTTACTTTTCTATATTAAATGCTTGATCATTGAGCTGTATAGAGTATAACTTAATGTAATGAAAATGTATAAAATAATTTGTTACGTCTCTGGTCGTTAGTTAATTTTCCGTAAAAATTCTTTCCGAAGAAACTTTAGCGATACAAGTCCTTTCTTAAATAAAACTGGTTTATTTTTTCTGAATACAACTTTGCAATACACTTAATTTCTGCAGTCGCGCTATAACAAACGCTATAATTCACAACGAACGTCTCACGTGCTCGACTCAACTGTCAATTACACAACGTTGCCGTCACTTCTTGGCGGCTTATATATACAAGACTGCCGCATATCTAGTAGCCTCTCGAGACTTCAGGAAGGGACATGAACGTTCGAGAAGCGCATGACGTGTTACTAGCGTAACGTGACCTCCGCTGTCGTAACAATACGTTGATCCTTGAAGTTTCAGGACTCACTCCTTTTTTATTATTCATGGAAAATGAAGAAAGCACCAGGAGGAGAAAATCATAATTTATAAGATTATTTAAAATAACAATATTAGACACTTCTCAAATGTTATCGGTAACTCACAAATATAGACAAATAAATTACTTGCAGTATTGTATTTTACCAAATAATTATTGTTGCGTCATCGAGATCACATGAATACAGTGACGCCACGTTTCTAGAACTATCCCGTATCTTGGCGAATGCTCTAGTATTTGCTAGATATAGGGTAGTTTGGTATATATAAGAGGGGACAACGTGACGCGAGATTAAGGTGATGTGTGTGTGTAGATAGTGAGTAATTGATCTGCAGTCAGAAGTATTATTGAGCACGTTCGTTGTTATAGCGTTTGTTTAGCGCGATTGTTGAAGTTGAGTGTATCGGTAAAGTTGTATTCGGAAAGAATAAACCAGTTTTAATAAGTAAAGACTTGTGTCGTTAAAATTTCGTCGGAACGAAGTTACGGAAAAATCAATTAACAAACGGTTACGTAACATTATCTTACATTTCCCAGTTTCGCAAATCTCTGATCTAAGACCTTTCTCTTGTCCTGGCAAGCCTAAGTTCAATTCCCAAGGAGTTTTATCGTCTTGCCAGATCAAGATATTACATGTCACATTACTAACTACTAAACATTTGTTTTATGAAATTAATCATGAACTTAATATCCGTACATCACCACCCGACGAATCTAGTATTGATGTCTTAATACAAAGCCCTTCAGTGGCTCAGCGATTAGTCTTTGGACTTATGATGCTAAAAATCGGGCTTAAATCCCCATGGTGGGTACATCAAAAATAGCCCATTGCGTAGCTTTGGGCTTAATAAAAACCAAACCAAACTTAATACAAAAATTAAATCTTTAATATTTAATTTTCACTAGGAGGCAGTGAGCTAACGTTTAAGGTAAATGAAATACCAAACGATAGAAAAAATACATAAACGATAAGTAAAATTAAAACTAAAAATAAAATAGTAACTGCTACCTGTTATAACTGCATCTGTTATACCTGGATCTCATTCTTACCAGGTTTAAATATTTGGCAATAACTTTTCACTGTGAGTTTTCTTTTAATAGTAACCCAAGGGGTAGAGTAGAAGAATAACCAAGTTAACAAATAACATTATACCCATTTTATTCAAATTACTACGTTTTAACCGTTATTGTATTATTATTAATTATTCATATTTTTATAAAATATCTTAAACAAGATTTTAATTATGCCCTATGCACTTAGGAGTTTAATAATAATGGAATATTTTTGAAGAAGTCATTAGAAATCACTTAATTATAGCAATTTTCTATATTCAACATTCTTAGTTTTTTTATTTAATATTGCTAGTGCAGTTATTATAATTCAAATATTTATTTTTCCATTATGTTTTTAGTTCCTGCTTATTTTTACATTTGATTCTGTGAAGAGTTCCTTATGGATATGTAAATTTTCGAAGTTTTTATTTGATTGTAGGAGTTTGTTTGTGGGTAGTTAAGCATAAAGCTACACAATGGGCTATCCGTGCTCTGCCCATCACGGGTATCAAAACCCGGTTTCTAGTGTTGTAAGTCCGCATACATGCCGCTGTGCCACTGGGAACGATTGTAGGGGTAATATAAATTGTTCTGTTTTTGTCCAGTCAGTAGTACAATATTTGAAAAACAACGGTGTCGCTAGTGTCTGCATTTTGTTTGAGAGTGCGTGGTTTGTGTCAATTGATAAATTTATATTTTTGATTAGGTAAATCAGTTAGAAAGTACAAACTTTGCTGCCTGTTTTGGAAGATAAAATCTCGAAGATGTCACTTTGCTGTGCTAGTAAGTAATCTTGCAGATGATTCATTTTCTCTGTGGTATATTTTTAAAATATAAAAGCCTACTGGTAAACAGTGAGGCCTAACAATGTCGATGGGTAACGGCATCTAGTAATAATACTAATAGAAAGCCGGAAAAGCCCGAAACAGTATGTTTGGAAACAAACCTAACAACAACTCAGTAGTATAATTTATAATTCACATTTAAACGATTACTATACAGAATTGGACCAGAAAACAATATTATTATGATAATTATCCCCAATGATTAAACAGTAACTGTTTAAAGTCGTACAAAAATTACAACTGTGATACAATTTATTTTTGTTCATTATTGCATAAAATAAAACTAGGAAACACTTGTAGGTCTTATTGAAGATCTTAATCTTTAAAAGTAATTAATCCAGTTTTAGGTGTGAACATTTTAATGCCATTCAAAAATTGTATTCGTCTTTTTTTTTCTTTCTGTAGCAATCCTCTGAAAGAAGGGTAGCCAAAGGTCATTCATCAATTAAATAAGAAATATCACTAAAAAACACGAATATTAATATGTTATTTAAAAGTTAAAGCCCAATAGTGGAAGAGTATTAGAAGATTGAAAGTTGGCTAAATTTAGTCCAATGTTTAAAAGAGGTGATAAACATTGTCCAGGCAATTATAGGCCAGGTAGTCTTACATCAGCAGTTGGAAAGGTTTTGGAGAGTGTGCTTAAAGATGTATTACAGAGTCACTTAAAGCAGTTTGATCTAGTGTCAAAGAGCTAGCATGGTTTCACTAAGGGAAAGTCTTGTTTAACAAATCTTCTGACATTCTTTGAGGATGTTACTACAAGAGTTGATGATGGAAATACTGTGGATTTGGTTTACCTTGATATTCAGAAAGTGTTTGATAAGGTGCCTCACACAAGACTTGTTACAAAAATTATATCTGTGGGTGTGGGGGAAATGTTATTAAATTGGATAGAAATTTGGCTGGAGAGTAGAAAGCAGAGAGTAGTAATAAATGGAGTTAGACCTTACTGGATTACAGTTACAAATGGTGTGCCTCAGGACTCTGTGGTGGGTCATCTGCTGTTTTTGATTTATATTCACAATGTTGACTCTGGAGTGACCAACAAAATTTTGAAGTTTGCTAACTGTATCAAAGATGCCATAGATTTACAGGGAAATTTAGACCATTTGATGCATTGGGCCAATACATGGCAGGTGATGTTTAACTATCCAAAATGTAAGGTGATGCATGTAGGTTTTCATAATTCAAATTATTTTTACAATTTAAATGGGAATACATTAAATACTGTGGTTGAAGAAAAAATACTTTGGTATTGTAATAAAAAATCACTTAAGTCATCTAAACAGTGTATTGTAGCTAGCAATAAGGGTAATAGGATTTGGGGCAGCATCTATAGAAACATTGAATAAAAGACAAGGAATATTATTGTTTCACTGTATAGAGTACTGTGTACAATTTGGAGCTCACTTCTTCAAGAAGGACACTGAATTGCTGGAGAAGGTTTGGAGAATAGTCACTAGAATGAAACCTGAGATGGTAGGATTGTCCTATTAGGAGAAACTAAAATCTCTTAAACTTGTTTTCTTTGGAGAGGAGAAGGGTTAGAGGGGATTTGATTGAGGTGTTTAAGGTTATTAAGGGTATTAATAATATAGATCCATCAAATTGTTTTTTGTTTAGCAGTGACAACAATAGGACAAGGGGTAAAAATTCAAATTTTGGCAGCACAGGAGTCATCTGCAGTTTAGACAGTATTACTTTTCAAACAGGATGGTTGGCTTTTTGAATGAGCTTCCTTCAAGGGTGTTGGAGGCAGAAAACTTAACCGAGTTCAAGAAAAGATTGGATGAACACAGAAGTAGTAAATTTTTTATATTTTAAATTATCATTTTTCAATCATACAAAGAAAACTTCTGAATGAAAAATGAGATGAATACAGTTGCTTCATTTTGCTCTTTATCTTTACTTGTCATTAATTCTGTTTCGTTTTGATGAAAAAATGAAACAAATAAGACATTTATTTGACATGGCTCTATGAAAACAAGCAACAATCATGTACAAAAAGGGTGTAAACTTTTTTTCAAAAGAAGTCATCTAGAAAAAGAAAAACAAAGAACTTCTTCCTTTTTATAAAAACTCCAGACACAAAACATTTTTTTTTAAGTGGCCTTAGGTCATTGTTTTCTAAATAACATATCTATGATCCAAAGTACACAGTATATTCATTAAATTTTAATAGGACAAAAAAAGAGCTTATTAGCCCATCAAGGATGTCCCTTCCAGCTCCACATAACCCCCTATTGTTATAAAAAAACATCCCTGAGCCTCTTCAAAAAATACCTTTTCCTCATACTGGACTCCACATAATCCCACTCAATGTGTTTTAAATTCATCTCTCATAATTATTGCACAGCAACCTTATTAATTACAACCCTGATCTTATTATACAATTTCTTGCTGACACTATCTACATAATCAGATGGCCTATAACAACTGCTAATTAAATTTTCTACCACTGAAACCCCAACCATAAATTCTTAACTATTTTTTTTTTGTCCTCAACCCTAAGCATCTATAGTTTATACTTTGCACAGTGAGCCACCTCACCCTTCTTTTAAAAATTATATTACTATTAAATAACTTATTACCTGGAATTTCAAAATAATTCATATTATCAATGTTCTCCAAATCTAATCACATTTCAATATAATATTTACTGCAAGGGTGAATGCATATAATTTATCAATAACTTTTGAGAACAATGAAAATTGACGTTAAAGCCAGGTAAAGAAAAAAAAATACATGTTCAACGTCCCCACCTGCTTCCTTTTTTGCAACTATTTCTCCCTCTTTTTTTTCCATTCTATATCTGTTGTAAACTACTTGTGGGGATATGGTTGTAAGAGTTGAAGTAGGGAAATATTTGCATAAAAGTGATCATTTCATAATTAAGTTTGATATTTTGCTGCACATTAAATTAGAAATAAAATATTTTTTTAAATAAATTGTTTTTAATTTAAAATAGGCATGTTTCTAAATAAAGAGAAGTATAACAGGGAAGATAAGATTAATTGGCTCACTAATGAGATAAAGGATTAAATTTTAAAATGTGGTTAAAGCCCTTAATTATAGATCTTCTAGTAGGATTGATAAGCCTATCAGCCCTGCACATGCCCTGTTCAGGTGTATGTGTGGTCCATTGCAAAGACAATTTCCTTCACTGTATTAAGAAGCTCTAAAATAAATTTAACAAAACACATCCCTAACACAAATATAAACATACACACCTGAGTTCGCTACATTTTAATAATGAATCAAGAGGTCTAAAAACACTTAAACCTCAATATTAAATATTACACTATCTGACATACAATTCTCACATAACAAACATCCTGAAAGGACATTTGAAAACAACCTGTAACACTGCTGTAATATTGGACATTTGCAAAAAACATCAAAATTAAGTACCAAGTTGGTTGTAAATTAGAAATACCAAAACCATTTCTATTTTATGACAAATGAGATGAAGACATTTTTTATATTTTGATAATAAGCAGTACAAAACATATAACGTCTTTTACATTATTAGTGGAGGCAAAATTACAAAAGTATGCTGCATTATTTTACAAAAGGGATATGTTTTGCATTACTAATCAAGTTTTTCAAGAAGGTTTCAATAAGGTACAACACAAAAGATTAGCTAAGAAAATCACATTAGTAAGGGTTAGGGGAAAGACTGGTTAATTGGATTGTAGAGTGATTGGATAGAAAGAAAAAGGTTATTATTTACAAAGTGTCTCATAGGTCAATGTTTTGGGGCTTTGCTTTTTGTTTATTGACATTAATGATACGTATAGGGGCATAAGTAAAGTTTACTGATGACATTAAACTCGTGGTTATTTTGAGTTGTATTGGGGATGCTGAGGTATTACAGAATGAGTTGGATGAATTGGTAAGTTGGTCAGATATTTATCAAATGGCCTTTAATTATAGTAAATGCAAGGTAATGTATTTGGGTCATGTGTTTAATATAGATTGAAATTCACTCAGTACCATGAATGAAGAAAAGGATCTTGATATTTTATTTTTTTATATTATTTTATAAACATATTGACTACAACTCAAAAAGGGATAACTATTTTTATAAAAGTCGCTAGTTAGGCCTCTCCTACTGGAAAAGATTCAGAGGATGGCTTCTAGCCTACTAGCATGATTCCTGAGGTGGAAGGGTTATTTTACAGGGATAGGTTAAGGTATCTTATTGTTTCTTGAGAAATAAAGGGTAAGAGATGTTCTTATAACTTACACAATTACCCAAGAGGTCAGTAGGATAAAGGCCTCTAATTTCTTTTTACTATATTCAGAAGAGAACAGGACGAGAGGATACATATGTAAAATTTGCAAGAGACAGTTAAGACAGTTTTATTTTTCTAATAATGTTATAGATTTATAGAATGACTTACCATTAGCACTATTGAAGGTCAGCACACTATAGAAGTTTAAGAGGGGGGGGAGGATAAATGATTTCCTGAAAGGATGGGGGATTTTTATTTTTCTCAAGGATGTTGAAGGATCAAGTGGTCTATCCATTGTTGTTAATATATGATTTTTGTATCTATTTTTCTTTTTCTCAAGGATGTTGAAGGACAGGTTTAAAGGATCAAGTGGCTTTCCACTGTTGTTAATATGTTATTTTTGTATCTATTTTATTTATATTTTTTTTCAGTTAGTAATGAAGTACCTGAGCAGCCAGTTATTTCGCCTGTCTCTGGCAGTATATTTGAGAAAAGACTTATCCTAAAATACATCACCGAAAATGGCTCTGACCCTATTAGTGGGAGAGAGCTTACAGAGGACATGCTGATTGAAGTGCGGAGTAAGTATAGGATAACTAGGCTTAAAAAGGTTTCATTAGTTTTAATATGTAACTTGATTCAGCATTTAATCTGGAAATAAAATAAAAAATGTTTCAACTTAATTATTCAAAAACATGGTTACCAGATTTACATTGCTTGTCATGTGTAGCCTAATTAAGTATTCACGAGAACCGAAGTAATAAATGTTTCGTAATAATGAATCTCATAAGTCTGATTACTTGACCTTATTGTATCTTTACACTGTCTGGTGTTTATTCTGTTTTTTAGACTTTCAAAAGATTTCTGTGTTCAACATAAAATGTTAATAATATAGTTATGACTAATTAGTTAGCATATATAGTAATCAGTTTAAAAAAAACAACAACATCATGTTAGGCCTAAGTACACTTGTGCTATGAATGTGTATGAGGAAAAGATACATGTTATGTTTGTAAAAATTGAGTCCACATATGATATTTGCCCCCCATTGGCACAGCAGTATGTCTGCGGACTTACAACGCTAGAAACCGGGTTTCAATACCTGTGGTGGGCAGAGCACAGACAGTCCATTGTGTAGCTTTGTGCATAACTACAAACAATAACATATGATATTCTTTTTATAATTATAATTATTGTTATACGTTACTATCAAAAATAAGACTGGATTTCAGTGGACGTTTTTATTACACAAGGAGTTCAAAATATTACATGCTGGAAGTAAATATGTAAAGCACATCACATGATTGCAAGTTTAACCCTCTTTTCATGGGCTTGGTGAAATTGACCAACTCTGTATTTGTGAAACTATATATAATAGTGCTTACTATAATTCTGAATTTACGATATATGTATTCACAATATTTGGCGAGCATTTAGTAAACATTAAAAGTCTGTTGTACATGCACACAAAAATTAGACATTTTGATAAAGTATTTTTATTAAAGATTTGTCTGTGAATTTATGCAACCTTTAATGAATTAGTCTGAGTGAAAGGTGGTTTTTCATTCTAAGAAGAAAAATACTTATTTTTTCAGTTTTTTTGTTCCATTTTTATAACATCTAGAACATCTTAAATGAATATCAAAAGTTTTTTTTGTAAAACTTCATATTTTATCTCTTATTTTCTCTAAACACTAACTGTAGTGAAATTATCAACACATAGTGAAATGAAAGGCAGTAAACTAGTAAGTAAATAATACCATTTTTACTTCAGCAATGACTGCATTATTGATCAGAAAGATTCAAATTAATTATCCTAAACAACTTCAACTTCTAACCTTCTCACACCTGCTTTCTTTTAATTTTGTTGTTTTATTGGTGTACTTTGTACCCACTAATGCACATAAGGAACTAGAAATCACTACAGGAGCCCATTAGCTAAAATCAACACAATGTGATTGTGAGGTATCCTGTTACACATGCTGATGCTAGTGTAATTTTAAATGTTTTATTTTACTGCTTTTGTTAGGCTAAGATGAGAAGTTTATAATGTTTACATTTTAGTTACTTTGTTAAATATATATATAAACAAGTGTGAAAGAAGAAGAAATCAAATTTTATTCAGAGATTTTGGCAAGAATGGCATGTACACTAATGAACTCAGTTTTAAGGACTTAGAGCTTTATATAATCTAGAAATATAAAAAATGATTGTCCAGTCAATCTAGAAAGTATTCAAGTTTTAACTGGTAGGTTACAAATACTGCAATTATACAAAAGCATACAAAACACTTGATGGGAAAAATATAGTTACAGTGTCCTGCTTACAGTGAGGTTAGTGGTATCTAAAACAACATTAATGTTAATGATTAAATGATTATATTACAGATTTCTTTTCACCAAGGTAAAATCAAAATAATCTGTAACATATAGATCTAATGCATTCTCTGATTGGTCGTACCTTCTTTTGTGGACTGCAGTTTTGCTTATTCAAGACTTATTAGTACAGCTTGGGCCAGCCAACCAAAGAAATACAGTTAAGCCTCTTGTAATGGTGATGTGTGTGTGTGTGTGTGTGTAACATGCTTATGGGTTATTTGAGTCATTTTTAATTCAACATATAGTAACCTAAGTTCATTTAGGCGTGTCAATATTATTATGGCATTACATCTAATTTATTATTTGATATTATACAGTGGGCCAACTGTTTAACGATTATATTACAGATTTATTTTATTTTCACCAGAGTTAGAATCAAAAATATAATCTGTGACAAGGAGACCTAATGCATTGTTTGATTGGCTGTACTTTTTCCTTTGGACTGCAGTTTTGCCTGTTCAAGGCTCATCAGCATAGCATAAGTGAAAGAAATACAATTAGGTCTGTTATAATGGTGATGCATATATAATATTTGAGGTTTTTGAGTCTCAGAAATTAAATAAATGTTGTTATGATTGACTAAATGAAGTTACTTTTCAATGTGGAAAAAATGTATTTAATGCAAGTTTTCTGTCCCTCTTATTTTTTTTTTTAACATGGCAATTGTATATTTTCAATTGCCAGTTTATATTTTTGTCAGATTTATCAAAATTTTAAAATTTGTCCATCAAATGTAATGTGTAGGTTTTTAGTCAAAAGTTTAATCTTTGGGAAGTATTCTTTCCTCATGGTGATACAACATTTAAATTCCAATGTTACATGTGGTTAATATCACACATTTCAAGGTTATACAGTGTGCACCATAGATATGTGTGTGTGTGTTTATAATTATATATAATAGCTGATTTACCTATTCAAGATATGGGAAAGTCATAGGGTCCTCTCATGGAGAATACGTGGGGGGTATGATCAGGGTACATGCCAGGTTTGGTAACAATTAATCTAGCAGTTTGTCAATTATAAGTTGGCATGCACACACACACACACACAGGCTTTTAGACTTTTTGGTTTAGATGCCCATGGAAGTGAAAGAATTAAACTTTAAGTGTGTAATAAATGCTATAAAAACAACCCATAAGTAGCATTTATTTAATTTATGCTTGATCTACAGCTCCACCTGTTGTTAAACCAAGACCACCTTCAGCTACCAGTATTCCTGCAATCTTAAAAACCTTGCAAGATGAGTGGGTGAGGAACACTTTATATAACACTATGTTAAGGCATAATATGATATACATCTTAGTATTGACTTCATGTAAGAAATTAGTTTTAATGTATATTGATGTAAATTAAAATCTGGCTCTTAATTTCTTTTTACCCATTTTGTGTTATTCTTATGTTGATTTTCCAAATTTTTTTTTTTCTTTTCGTTAATGTATTATGATTTTATTTTTGAAAAATTTGCCCAGTTCATTATAGAAGTTTTTTAATAGGGTGTTGCAGCCTGTGTTGGAAGGTCTTAGTGACTGAAACTACTCTATAATTTGTAAATATTTAGAAAATGCATTAGTCTACTTAAAAGACATGTTTATAGCATCATTACAGTACAATTTTAGTACCAATCAGAATATTGTTATAGGTAATTAAGATAATGTCATGATTTAGGGAGCCATTTCTAATACTTTTCAAATGTAACTTTATTGCATACATGAAAATACTGTTGAAAATAATTTTTTAAAATTTATTACTTAAATCTTTAGAAATGATATGTTTGCATTTGTCTGTCCAGAACTTTTCTCACAAATGTCTCAAAGAAATTCTACAAATCTCAAATCATTAGAAAGGCCTTTGTCCAAGAATTCTGGATTGCATTTTGACTTTTCAATTCAGAATCACCTTACCTGCTTTTTACTTAGTCAAACTTTTCAGTGTAAGAGTATGATAATGCTGGCACAATGTTGTTGTCGTCACATGATGACTGGCTTTCATTTTAACTTTAGTATTTTACACAAACATCACTTAACCTGCATATAATTTAAAAAAAAAAAGAAACATTACACAAAATAAAATTTCTTTGGGCTTTCTTGATTTATTTAGGTTTAAAGTATGCATGTGTGGTTTGTTGAAAACCATATGCTTATCACTTTGTGAACATGCGTTCAGATGTTTCTGCATATTCAGCTAAGTTTACCTTCATTACAACTTTACATTTACTTTACTTTGCAATAACGTAGCTTTGATTCATTTCATAGACTGCAATAAACACCTTTCTAATTAGTTGTCTCCTTACTACAAGCTTTATTTTTCGTTGTTGTTTTTTTAGTTTCTTTGTTTCAATTTGTTAAATCATTTCATACACAAAATGTACATTTACTTTACTTTGCAATAACTTAGCTTTGGTTCATTTCATAGACTACTATAATCACATTTCTAGTTAACTTTTTTCTTACTATTGGTTTTTTTGGGGGGGGTCTTTGTTTCAACTCGTAAAACTATGCCATACACTGAATGCTCATAACTGTTTCATGCTCTGTACACTATTATAGTGGCATTACTTTATTGTGTACTTTACATGTAATTTTATTAAAGAAAGTTACATCTATATGAGTTTGTTTGTCTGACCATGTAAAATAATTCAGGACTTATCTAGCTAACACATAATGCCTGCAAGAAAGTACAACTTGAATGGTGTGAGTGAAAATGATAGAATAAGGAAAATTCAAGTGAATGGCTTATAAGCTACCTCACATAGGTCATGGCGAGTATGTCTACATTGCAGAAACATTTTTGTGAAATATCTTTTCTTAAATTATAGATGGGTGCATTACTTAGAAGTAACATTGTTCAATGGAGGAATCAACAAAAGTATTTCCATAACTTCTTTACTGTTTTCTGGAAGTAAAAGTATTCCAACTACAGAATTGAAGCATTTGTATGTGTAATAAGCAACAAAGAATGATTGGTTACAATATACAATAGAGAGTTAACTTACCAAAGCCATTGCAGTGAAAGTTAGAGTCATTGTAAGAAAGCGTAATTGACAGGTGTACAGTTTAGCAGGACTACTTTGTAAACTATGTTATTAGATAAGATATGTAAAAGCTCTAAAAATAAAGGCTAAAACTTGAAACACTTGTAAAAACTTGTTATATTTTGTGACAAAATTGTAGTCTAGGCAATGCATGTATTAAATAGACATTAATTGGTATCTTCAAAATAGTTGTTTTACATATAACTTGGTTATCTTCTGTTGAATTTATTTTAGCTTTGGAAAGGTACATCATCACTTTCATGATATCAAAATATAAAAACGTTTTCTTTAATGTGTCTTTGAGGTTTAATGCTTTTTATTCATTCCCTGTGTATTTCTAGGATGCTGTTATGTTGCACAGTTTCACCTTACGGCAACAACTTCAGACTGCTCGACAGGGTCAGTTTGAGATTTGTCTAAGTTTGTTCATTTTGTTTTCAGGAAAATTAAAACTTGATTTAACATGATAAAATTAAAAACCAAGAAAAAAAATTTTTTTAGGTTAACAAATACATACAAGTGTTTTACCAGAAACAAATGTTAATATTTTACACAACTTTTCCAAATAAATAATTAATAAATAAATGTTTAAAAATATTTTTTATGTGTATCATTGGAATTATAAGTATAATCAACACAAATAATGTCTCTGTAAAGAAATTCTTTTTTGAAATCAGTTGCTGCTTCTAAAAGATTTGTAACTTTTTCATAAATAAAACTTATGATACTCGTATTTAGACAAAAGGTTTTATTTTTCTTAATACAATATTCAGAATATCAAGTAAAAAAAACAGTTTAAAACCAGAATATATTCATAAAAGTATAGTGAGCCAATCCATGTTGTCTTTAAGTAACTTAACTTGGCTGGCTAGCATGTAAATTAATATTCATATAATAATTTTATTAAACAAGTTGTGGAAAAAAAATCATTATAAGAAGAAACTACAACTTACTTCGCATAGAATTGCAATAAAATGAATACAGGAAGAGACTTTTCAGTTCATTGAATTTTATTACATATAATAAACACAACAGACTTGAAATAGTGTTCACCCCTGTTCCTGTTTTGTGTGTGTGTGTGTGTTATAGTCCTCTGATGGCTTGGGGCTTTTTTTGTTGATTTTATTTTTGTAAGACCTGAAGGTTAAAGTTTAATGTGTCTGTTGTTCTATTCTCTTGATAAATGTGTTCATTTAATCTAACTTTTCAGAATTGTCTCATGCTCTTTACCAACATGATGCTGCTTGCCGTGTAATTGCAAGACTAACAAAGGAGGTAACTGCTGCAAGAGAAGGTAAGGATATTGATGATTTCCTTGCTACTGTGCAATTGCTGTTTTTAACTTTACCAGAGACTTTCTAAAATTGTAATATACTGATGATAGAAATAAGAAAATTAGAGAAAAGAAACATGCATGGTAAGAAGTGAAGAAAACTCCTTCTCTGCAAAAATTAATGAACAAATTTTTATTTTCTTATTGAACATTTTGGTAGTGGCTTCTAAGATAAGATTAGGAAAGTTACATTGTGTAGTTTTTTTTATTTCTGAGTGCTTGCAGACTTACAAGTAAGTGTGAATAAATTACAAATGAGTGTAGAACAAGCATCTGTGAAAATACATACTATTTTTGATAACCAAGATGTTTAAAGTAGCAATACCGTAATTACGATAAAATAACTTGAGACATATTAAAAAGTGTTTGAGAATTTTCTGTTGAAACTCGGATATTTTTAGTTTGATATCACTTACGTCTTAATAGATTGCTAGTATTTTTTCATAGGTTAATTATTATTTTAGCTCAGAATTTTGTTTTCATATTCATGAACAAATTACACAGTACAAACTTTTATCACTATATATTTGGTTATTTATTATTTAAATTCTCTCAAGTATGGAAAACACCATGATACATTCTAATCAGGTGTAAGTCTAAATAAATATTATAATAAAGTATTCTTAGTGTATTCTGGATGGGTTAATAACAATTCTATTTTTATATCTTGATGAATCACAACCAAAGAACAATTACTTGATAGTGCAGAGCAACTTGTTGTCTTAAAGGCTTGGCATTATAGAATCAATATTTTTTTTTATAAACGAGATGAGAAGAAACATATTAGTGCAATTTGTAAAGGTCTAGTGAATAAGAAAGGAAATAGCCTTTATAAAATTGTAGTTTCAAAATGTTTGTAGGGGTATGTGCCTATAATTGGGGGGATACTATACAGCCTGCAATATTTCCTTTGTTTTGACACCTGACTTCTCTTATGTATGTGATAGTATAGGAAAATTTTAAAATAATTCTAAAGTACTTGGGTTTTCAAGTATGAAGGCTGATCCTTCTACATTAGTATACTATACAATTCTACACTATGTATAGATGTTCCATACTGAAGAGTTTTAATAGTACTGATTATTTGTTTATAGGTGATAGGGATTTTTAGTTAAGTTTTTATTGTCATCATTAGTAGCAGATTAAGTGTAGCTTAGTGATCAGTGTGCCATGCTGTGGATTTGAGAATCTATGGTTTTTAACCCCATTGCTGAAAAAAACAAAACAATGATTGGACATCGGGGCTATGGCTGTGTTATAAGAATAATGGTGAAATCTAACTATTCAGTTAAAATAACCTAAGAGATGTTGTTGAATGCTGTTGGCTATCTGCATTTTCTCTAGTGTATCAGCTCAATATTAGGGATGACTAGAGCAAGTAATGCTTGGGTAGCTTTGTGAGAATATCTGAAAGAGACAAACAGTAGTTAGTAGTAGTAGTCTATATGATCACCTAAGTCCAATTATTTAAGTAGTATTTTTTATTATTATTACAAAATGCTTTTGGCACATATAGGCATCTTTTATAAAGGTTCTGTTTTTTAAAAGTTTTGGTACTGTCTAAAAATGTTGTCATAGATGTTTTTGTAACATAGGTAATATAAAAATTATTTCAGCTTTGGCTACTCTGAAACCTCAGGCTGGCATTGCTGCAGCTCCTCCTGGTGTACAACAACCTGTAAGTTGTTTTTCCCTTTTTAAATAGTTGTGGAAAAAAGTTAATATATGTAAAAAGCTTTTTAGTTTTGTGAAGAATAACAAGAAATGTCAGGTGAATATAGTTACAAAATGTGTTAAATTTTAACCAGTATCTGTACCTTTTCTAAAATCAGTATTTCTTTACGGTAATAACATTGGATCATCAAAGCTACAAAGTGTGAAGATTTAAACTTGTGCATAACAATAATATATATATCTTGGTTGTTTTGTAAAGTAACTTCCATTTCTTTGTAAAGTAGCAAATATTTCTCAGTATTAATCAAAGATTACAATAAGTGAAGTAATAACCCAATAAATGAGCTTTCTTACACTTTTTTAGTGTTAAATAGTGAATGTTATTTTTAGTTGTTCAGTCTATGAGCTTCTTATTATTAGGAGTGTACGATACTTTTTATTTCACTGGAGTGTTCTTAGTTTTAAAGTGAAAAACTATGTGTTTAAAAACTAAATATCTCATCATAAAGAATGTGATTTATTTTTAGAGTAACTTTCTGATTGTAGGAAAGAAAAAATGCATAGTTAGTGACAAAATTTTTGGGCTTCTCTAGTAATAGACTGGATTTACCTTACTTTTTTCTGTCTTTAAAATTAGTCCCAAGATAGTGATGCTCTGTTAATAGCTGAGGCCAAGAACCATATAGAAACTTAAAGTCAGTATCAACTGATGTTAAGCTAGTGTAGGAGAGTTTATTTAACTTAAACAACTTTATCATTTTTTGAAAGGAAAGCTTTCTAACAGCCTACTATTATTTCTGTGTTATTACCAAAATTGCCAGGAAAATTCAAAACTTGATGGGAAAATGTATGAACCATGGTAGTTTAAGTATATAATTTAGGAGAGGAGAAGCTACACATGATAAAAGGCAAAATCATTTATTAATTATGCTGTAGAAGTGTGCTGATCAGTTATTCTGCAATTGATCGGGAAATAGGTCACAATACCAACTAAAATTATAAATGGTATCAATTACAATTGAAATGGATAGAGATAATAAAACTAACCTATAATGTGTAATTTAATCAATATTAGTAGGTTTGTAAAGAATTTTATCGTCATGGTGTATAAGAGTTCTCCAACAAATGGATTGGTGGTAGTGGGGTGTGTGTAATTTGAGCGTTGCTGTTGAGGCAGTTGATATAAAACTCTTTTGAATTTATGAATTATTCGTTTTAAGTAATTAAGATCTCACGATACTTAAGTAACAAAAATGCAGTATAAAAGTATAGAAATTAAACATCTAGAATTCTGCTTCCTTAGTCACCAACTACATAAATACTAGTCCAAATCAGGGTGTTTAAAAACAAATTGCCTGAAATGGGGAACTAATTATACGATTTTCTATGGAAAGGTGGAGCTGTGATTATTCTAGTTGCATAGATCACTAAGTTAGCTAAGGCTGGACGTATTAATTAGTACCAATCAATGGGTAACTGGTAATAGGCCAACATGTCTCTGCTACTGTGTTCTTGTTGAATTATTTTACCTGATATTAATTTATTTTGTAAAATTACCAGAACTGTAAAGGTTCAAGAGTTATTGTAAGTTTAATCTTGCTTGGTAATATCATAGAAATTGATTCCATTGTATTAGTTGCTCTTTGTGTAAGAAACAGTATATTTACACTCTTCACTGTGAATATGTAGTTGTTTGAGAAAAGAATGGTTTAGATATTGTAGAAGTGTTTTTCATTTTTCAAGGTTTGTTTTAATATGATGTAAAACTGAAAGTGAACTGTATTTAATTAATTAATATAATAATGGTTGTTAGCAATATGGAGCAGAAGCAGGAGGATTGGCTGAGCAACCCACTGAGGAAGCAGGCATGACCCCAGAAGTCATCCAAAAGGTCAGTAAAATTATGCCATTAGTGACAGTATGGCCTCAGAAGGTCAGTAAGAATTGTACCATTAGTAACATTATGACCTTAGAATGATTAAAAAGTCACTTAGAATTAGGGTCCAGCATTAGAAATCATACAAAAGGTCAGTAAAAATTATGCCATTTATTACAATATGACCTCAGGAGGTCAGTAAGAATTGTACCATTAGTAACATTATGATATTAGAATGATTAAAAAGCCATTTAGAATAGGGTCCAGGTGTAGCTTAATGATTAACTTGCAGGACTGGGAATCTAAGGATTCGTGGTTCACATTACATTGCCACAAAATCTCACTCCATTCTTTGGGACAGTAAATGATAAGTAAAGGTGATAAACCCTAAATTATTTGTTCATAAAGTGAACCTAGCAAATAATGGACATGGAATTCTTGAGAATTTATAAACCCATTACTATTGTTAGTGCTTTTTACAGTTTAAACAACAGATTTGCAGCCAGGTAGATTTGATTAAACTATGACTTTAATCTTTTGATCAAGATGAGGTTTTAAAATACAACAAGAAATGCTGTACTTACAAGTGCAGTGTATTGATTTATCATGCACTAAGTTTGTTTATCAATATAAAACTTTGTAATGGGAACATTCCATTTTAGCTGTTGAGTAATACTGGTGTGTGTACTGGTCAGTACAACTTTAGATTAAACATAATGTAAACCAAACATAGGAGATTTTTAACCAAAAAATTACAGAATTGTAAAACAAGTTCTTTACCACATGTTGTGCTTTTTTAATATATTTTTTTCAATTAAAAAAACTGAAATTTTAATAGAAATATATAAATTATTAATATTGTTTTTGTAATTTCTCACAGTAGTTTAGTTAAGTAAAATTAAACTGGTTGGGAATATTATCATGCATGTTAAATACTGCAAGATTACACAGTAACTGATTTCTATCAATAACTATGAAAAGTAAATGTCCACTTGACCACCAAGTCATAGAAAAATGGAAAATTATTGTTACTAGATCACCATTTTGGTTCATGTTTTCATCAGAAACATCACACAAATGGTAACAATGGATCCTGATATTTCTTATATTTTCTCAAGTTAGTGGATGTTTATATCATTGCTATGTACTATAAAAGTAACCATATTGATTGCATTTTAAGCTTCAAGACAAGGCCACTTTGTTGACAACAGAAAGGAAAAAGAGGGGAAAAACTGTTCCTGAGGAGTTGGCTAAAGCTGAGGATGTTCGAGCTTACAAAACCTTAGCATCTCATCCTGTAAGTTTATTTCAGATAACATGCTTTTCTTTTCTTGCCTTTAACTCTCTTGCCCCAGCTATCCTCTACTGTGCATGTCACGAGGTTTTAGTGACTTACAAACAAATTTTAATTAAACTGCTTTTTGTTTGTTATACCAATTAGTATGGCATAAAAATCATAGCTAATAATCCATATTTTAATGATATATAAGTTTTAAGTTCTTAATTTTATAAGCCAACATTTAAAAAAATCCTGAATTTCCCCTAGTTTGAGAAATGTGACATATTTTCTCTAGGCATCCCCTCTTCTCTATTTTATTCACCACCCTACCAATACATACGAAATTTAATGTAAATTACTCAATATAAAATCGTCATTGGTCATACAAACCATAATTTTATATAGCCTTCAATCTTGTTTGTTTACTGAGCCATCAAATAGAAAATTAGACCCCTCTTGCCACACCCACCTGTCACATCCTCTCTTTCAGGATTTGTTAATAGTGATTTTATGCTTAATACTATATTATGTATAACCAGTATAAAGCCAAGGTTTTCATCTCTCAAATGATATATTATATTACATTGTTTTCTGGACAGGGAATTGTCAATTTCTCAGTTAGTACAAGCTTCATTCCCATGGAAAAGATAACGACTAGCTTGGATGAACTTGTAACAGTTCTTGTTGAATAGTTAGAAAGCTAGAAAAATTGTGATAGTTAGAGGAAATTGTCTGCTTTTTGCATGTTATTAGTCTATGTTCTTTGTTCCATTATTTAATTAAATAAAAATTATTTAGTGTATTAATACCATTAGTATAAAAAAGTAGGGTTAAGTGTCATCAACAGTTAACAGCAAAAAAAAGGAAGACCTGTGTAAGTACTTTATATCTTGTTTTTAATTTTTATTCTTTATTTATTATTATAAAAGTAACTAAAAAGTAAATATAGGGATCTCTTTAGGTCAGTTAAGGTTAGATTAGGTAAAATAAATAATAATATAATAAAAAATGTTTCACAAGGCATGCATGCAAGCAGCTTGCTGTACCTTGTGGGTAATGTAATTCGATAGCATAATGTGAGTTCCACATTCACCAAGTGATTTACAACTTATAATGGCATGAATAGTAGTTAGACACAGTTCAAAGGGCAATAGAACAATAACATTTAAGTATAAATAGATATATACTGTTATGAGTTTAAAGCTACATAGGATAAATGAACATAGTGTCATGTTACAATTTTAAGTCACTCTAGAAAGAAAAAAATGGTGATTTAGATTTGTATTTATTTTTGGTAGTTACGAGGTCGGTCAAATTGACCGACCTTGTATAGAGTTAGGGTAGAGAAAATAACAGATAAAATATAAAGTTTTACTGAAAACAAACATTTGAAATATTTCTAGGAGGTTATAGGGATTACACAAATGAAATTTGATATTTGTGAGATGAAGAAAAGTATTTTTAATCTTAACATGAAAATCACTTTGCGCATGGACTATTCAAAACAAATACTCGAGATATTGAAGGACAAATCTTTTTTTTAGATTATTAAAAGTACTTCACCAAAATATTATAATGTTTACCAAAAAGTCTGCTAAGTTTTGTGAAGATATACACACTATAATAAAAATTAGGTGTATCAACACTATAAAGACTAAATGAGTACAAAGAGGTCATGTGGTCGGTCAAATTGACCAAGCCGATGTTGAGAGTGTTGATTTAGATTTTTTGAAGAAATCAAAACTGAGACTGGTCAGGGTTCAAGCTGTTTGACTGCTTGTAGAATAGATACTTTAACCAGCTAAACTATTTACTTTATTATTAATTTCTAAGGACTGATTAGTCAGAGCTTATGAGATAACTTTTGGAATGCCACAATTATAATTTCTTGTTTTCGTATAGAAGTTACATAAAGAATTTTATGCATTTCTTCTTTGAAAAATGTGACTGATTAATCTGCTGTGAAGTTTTGATAATAGATCAGGCTAGTATATATGTCAGAAAGTTGTAAAAATTATTACTTTTTTGTAGAGTTTAGCCACACTTTTTATTGGGCTTTTAGGGCATGTTCTACCACAATTAAATGAACTACCCCATCTATTTGATATGTTCTACAGACTATTCTATTATAGCTAGAACATGTAATTGATGCTTCTTGTAGACGTATTTCAGAGTTCAGATTTTAAAAACAAAACAATTTCCAAACTTGTGTTCATTAAAGAAATTCAAAAAAGCGTAAAGTATTAAAGACTTTTTTATTTTAAAAAATTTATATATACATGTTAAGTTAGAATTTATGTCATATTCCTTTACTTCAAATTAAAAGTTGTTATTCACCTTTTGAGTTTCTTCTATATATGTGTGTGTGTGTGTGTGTGTGCGTAATAAAGGTTTGCTCCTTAGGGTCTGCACAGTGCTAGTATTCCTGGAATTCTTGCAATGGATGTATGTCCAACTGACACTAGTAAGATTCTGACTGGAGGAAATGACAAGAATGCCACAATTTTCAACAAGGATACAGAACAGATCATTGCTATTTTGAAGGGTCACACTCGAAAAGTAACCTCAGTAATTTATCACCCTGAAGAGGTAGGTCACTATCAAATGTTACTATTATTGTAATGGCCTTTAATAAGTACTTGCACTTATTAAACTCACATTTATTCAACATACTGTGGTTTTATTTGATTCATCTTAATGCAAGTTATAGTTAAAACACTAGAAATATGCCAGGAAGAAACTATGAAAACAATGATTGATTTGTAAAAAGTGATAAGGTATGTAAGCAGAGATTTATCAATCAAAGCCATTTTTAAACATATAGACCGACAGACAAATAAATAAGAAACAGTTACCTACATGATGCCATATGAAAGCACAGAAACCTGTTCATTGCCCCCAAATAGCAAACCAAAACCACTTGTCTGAAGTCATAATGATGAAAAAGTGTGTAAAAATGTGATACACACAAAAGCCCAATTTAATCATTTGTCCAAGATAATTCATTAAGAAGAAGAACACTTATTTATTAGTCTAGGAATATCTAAGTGTCCTCTCCCACCCCCCAATTGGATGTTGTTTTACTTCCTTAAAGTATGGTTAACAAAGCATGTAAACTATTCATATGTGCACGTTGTTAATGTTAACCATTTTTAACTAATTGTCAGTATTATCTTAGTATTGAGTCACTTGATGCAAGATTTTTTAGTTCTAGCACAACCTAAATTCATAGATTTTGTAAAATGTTTGTCAATAATTCAACTTTGTATGATATGAGTCTGCTGTAACTAAGATCTTATTTAGATGTCATCATTTCTTTATGAATTAAAAGTCTGCAGGCTCACAACACTAAAACAATTGGGTTTCGGTACTTGTGGTGGGCAGAGCACAGATAGCCCATTATGTAGCTTTATGCTTAACAACAACCAAACCAAATGTTAAAAATCTTTGGTTTTGAAACATTATCGTTTTTTTGCCACAGTTGAAATGTGATATGTTTTGTGTATTTTTGATAAAATTAATTGAACTTGGACATTTTACAAGCAAATGACTTTTTTTTTTTTTAATTACTTGGTAACCACTCAAATAGCAATAAAAATTGAATCTTTGATGACTTTGGAAGCCAATATTTTCCATTTTTGTTATAAGTGGTGTAATTATTTGTTTATATATTCACAAAACTTTTGAACATTGTTTTTATGTCTACTGAGTTATATAATACTTATATATGTGTATTGCTCTTACTGGTTATTGAAGTTGAATGTTAATGTTCTTTATTCCAGGAGACAGTTATCACCACCTCTCCTGATGCAAGTATTCGTGTCTGGCATGTTCCAACCTCTCAGACGGTCCAGATGATACGTGCACACGAGGGCCCTGTGACAGGTTTGAGTCTTCATGCCACTGGTGACTATTTGCTGAGTACCTCCACGGATGAACACTGGGCCTTCTCTGACCTTAGGACAGGGCGGGTGCTTACTAAAGTTGGAGACACCACTACGCCACATGGTAGCTTACAGAAAAGCTTGCTTCTTATCTAATTGTTTTTCTTTGATCCTTTATTTCATATTTCCTTTAGTTTCTATCTTTAGACTCTCAACAATGTTAATTCCACTGTTTATAATTAGAACTTATTGGTATTTTTTTTGTATGTTTGTATTTTTCAATTCCTTTTTTTTATATATATAAAATATATTTTTCTTTGTAACATAAATATCTGTTAAACTTTTTATTTGACAGCTTTAACATCAGCACAGTTTCACCCTGATGGCTTGATCTTTGGCACTGGCACTTCGGATTCATTGATCAAGATCTGGGATTTGAAGGAACGAACTAATGTAGCTAATTTCCCAGGACACTCTGGTCCAATTTCTGCCATCTCTTTCTCGGAAAATGGGTATTATTTAGCTACATCAGCTGATGATTCTGTTGTAAAACTGTGGGATTTGAGAAAGTTGAAGAACTTTAAAACTATTACACTTGATGAGGGCTATGAGGTGTGTATGAAAATTTGATGTTTAAAATCATACAGCATCTTGAACTGTTGTGTGATTTGTTGACTCAAAGACTGCTAGATAGGGATGAAATTTAAAAAATCTATTTTTATATAACAAATTATTTATTCTTTAAAGCTTTTTTAACATAGTATCAATACTGTGTACACAACAAACAGAACCAGCTTTACTTTAATTATTAAAACATTTATCACCCTGTTTAGGTAAAACAATGTAATTAGTTACTTTCTGGTGACCGTATTACTGGTTGTTCTTTTTTAGTCTTTCTTTAGTTGGTGTTTATCCTGTGACTTACTTACATGTTACTTTTTTTTAAACTTGATGATGCCAAATTAATATTGGCAATATGAAGATACGTATTGCAACTTTATCCCTGCCCAGCATAATCTAAAGTGATATGTTTTATTACCTCCATCAGATTGTTTTTCTCACACAAAGTTAGAGAATTGCCATATCTATTAAATCATACCGAAGTTTTTTCCTGAGAATCTTAACTTGTTTCAGAACTTAATGCAAAATTTGCATACAACATATAAGTTTTCTGTCTGTGTACAAAAATTGGGGCACCACATATTTTTTTTACATCCATGTCTTGGCTGGACATAATGGAAGTTCTTATACTTCTCACATTTCAGTCACTGTCAGTTTAATTTCTTTGCTTTCTCTGCTAGTTTTTATCATTTACTTGATGAGAGTCTGTCTTGACAGTGAGCTGAATATTGGCAAGATCAGATTTAGGTTAACCATAACTGTGAGCAGGTCATCTGAATCAGAGTGAGTGGATGGCCTGTGTACACAATTTTGTTATTGCATTATCTGTTATCATTATCAGAAAACACTTATGACAATTTTTGGTAACCCATGTGTTCATGGTACACATTTTTTTAAAATCGTAACTGTGATCTCTGTTGTATTTTTTCCTGGTTCTAAAATTTGTCTCAGATGAGCCTTTTGGTTTGTTTTAAGTGTAAAAAGTAAATTTTTTAACAGATGACTTCAACATTTGCAGTTTTCCCTTCATGTTATATTTGTATATTTCAGAGGTTTCTTGTGCTTTTGTATTTAAGTTGTAATAACTGATTTATGATCCAAACAAAAATGATGTACGGACAAAGATAACAGTTATAGTTGATTAACTCATCCTTACCTATTTATCATTATTACTACTCTAAAGATACATTATACTGATGCTACTAAACATTTTTAATTCAAGTGGTTAAACTGAATTTTCTCTAAAGTTAAAAGCTTGTTTGTTTTATACAGTAAAGTCTTATTAAGGAGGTGCTGAAAACATCAATGACAGGTCTCAGCAATAAGTAGTTTTCTGTTTGTGCTTTTATTAACCAATATGATATCAAATTTGTTGTGTGTTGCTTTATGACTAACGTTTTTTTCTACCAGTGGTTTTATTAATTAAACTTAATGTCATATATACAGTAAGTAAAAGCTTGTAAGTTTTGTCCATCTTTTTCCATTTATAGGTTAAAGACTTGTGCTTTGATCAGAGTGGAACTTACTTGGCCATAGCGGGAAGTGACATTAGGTAAGGGAAATTTACAAAGTTTGTGCTAGTTAAAATTTATATTTATTTCTAAGTTTTTTCTTGTTACTTTGAAAAAAGTGTAAGGGATTTAGTGAAAAGTGTATATAACTTGGATATTAAATAGCTATTATGGTACACAGTTAACCCTTTCATATCAACCACACTCTTTAAACTCCTTTTTGAGCAAGTCATGAGGTTTTACCGAGTTGCATTCAAAATTTAAATAAACAACTGTACCATCAATATATTCTAATAAAATTAACATTATTATGTACATTATAATTCAAAGTTTCATATATGTTTGAATTCCTTTATTTCAAAAGAAACCTTTAAATAAAAATACTTAAACTCCAGTTTTGTTGTCATGTAATACACGAGTGATCACAGATATTAATGTTTTGTCTGTATTACTTGAATAGATCATGTACAGTATATGTGTATGTCTAAACTGAATCTACTCATACAATGCTGTTTATCTGTTCTCAGTTCAAATTCCTTCTGGTCAACTCAGAGATCACAAAAAAATTAATTTGATCACCTCTTGACACCCACCTTTTTATTTGGACAAATTATTTCAAGCAACGTATTTATGTGATTGACTTGTTTTATAACTTATAGAAAGAGCTCATTATAAGCTACAATTTCCTAATTGTTATTTTAAAACCAGTGTGCAAAAGTCATTATGAATTCTTTCAAGTAGCCAAAGCATTGTTTGCTGTTTATGTCCTTTAATAGCTTCCCGAGGTAATAATGTTGAGGTAAAAGGGTTAAAGACCTTCAAAACATTGCCAATCATTTCTTGCATTCAGACTCAGTGGCTTTGGGTCTTCTCAGTGAGTTGGTTTTTAACCTTAAAATGAACTGTTCACAGACACTTTGTATTCTGTAACCTATTAGAATTAGATATTAATAATTTTCACCTTACTGTAATGAATAGCAAAAAATGTATTAGATTTGGGCAGTATGATTGTAAATGTATTAGTTATTTTGTATTGCCAGTTACACTTTTCTGTGCATCCCTTATCTCAGAATAAGAAATGGAAAATTAAATACTGCACATGTAAAAAAGTTGCTTAACTCACAATAGAAAGCAAGATTCTTTCTACTAAGTTGGAAAAAAAGTTTAATGGTTTACATTCTTATTTACTAAAAAAACTATCACATGAGAATAATACTGCCTGGTTTACTTGGAGCTGTTCCACCATTGGTTCCACAGCCATTTTGTATCTGCCATGATCAAGTACCAGGCAGATTTCTTGGGTGTTGCAAGAGACAATGTGAAGGCCATCCTTCTGCTTGACAATGTCTGCCCATCCCTCTTTGGAAGAACTTGAAGGTCATGTTCATGCCTGCTAACACCAATGCGTTGATTCAACCCATGGACCAGGGAGTCATCGAAGTCTGCAAGCAACACTACAGGAACAAACATTTGGGAGAGTGCCTTGGAAAGTACAACATTTGCAATGCAGTGTTCAACTGGGCAGAGGTATGGAAAAGCTTCAGTGTATCAACCCTCAGTAATGCATGGAACAAACTCTTCAAAGACACTGAGGTACATTTTGTTGGGTTTGGGACTGAGGACTTTGTGAACTTGCTACATCGAGGTGGTGAGACAGAGGTGTCAGAGGATAACATTGTGGAGTGGCTGGAGAAGGATAGTGAAGAGCAAGGCTTTCGTCATGATACAGAGGAAGAAATAGCTGCTAGTGTTTCTCAGAAAGGCACAGAAGAGCCAAGTGAAGATGAAGACCAAGTTATCAGATCTTCAGTTGTGCTTAGACAAGGCCTTGTCCAAAGGCAGTTGAGTGGTTGCCTGATTTGGAACAGCACTATGCAACTTTGAGAAATATCAGAGAAGATGTCATCAAGTGTTAGCACAGTAATTACAAATAGGGGAAAATATCTGACTTTTTTTAAACCCCTGTCAAAAAAACCCAAATGAAATCTTCCTTCCACCAGTAGTGAAGCCTCCATAGGTCTACCTGCAAGATCTGGATACTCTTCCTAAGACACTAATTCCAGCAGTGCCAGCTTTCTTCACATTACCTCAGAACCCCATGACAATTGATGTCTTTAGACAGTGAATAATTTATTTTATTCAATTAAATAATTTAATGTAAATAAATTAATCTTTAATTTCTAAGTTAATAACTTTGTGTATTCAAATAATCTTTAATTTCTAAGTGAATGATTTATTGTTTAAGTAGTGTACATTATTTACCAAAG